CACACACTGGGAACTACTTCACTGTCACACACTGGGAACTACTTTGAGCTACATACTTGGTGACAAACAAAACTTCCCAGACTCAGGTGCAGCATGTGGGATGTTGTGGAGTCCATGTCTTCCCTGACCCTGTGAGGATTTGACTTGATTAATTTTGAGCTTTTATTATGAAAGTGCAGTTTCCTGCACAGTGTGGAAGGTTACCCGTCGACAGTCCGGGAGCAGATGAGACTGTAGAGGAACAGGATGACTCCGTGACCACTCTCCTCATTAAACTACAAACACACGATGGGAACAGGTTATTTCCTGGTTCTGGTTCAGGACCACATAGTCCAGATCAGTCAGATCCATTTTCTGGTTTCACTCACACAGTGAATGTGATCGAGGATGAACTTAGTGATGTCCCCCTTCCTGTCAAATGTAAACAGCTGCAGCTGAAACACACAAAGGAGAGGACATGTATGAATACAGAAGGACAAAGAGGGTCCAGAGTGGACCAAGCCATACCGTCTCTGTGAAAGTGTCCAGAGTGTAGTCCAGGTGAGACGTGATGTAGCTGTCCTCGGTCAACAAGGCAACAGTTGCCCTCTCCTCCTGACCGGCCAACCACAGGCTGTCAGACAGAGCAGCTGCTAGAGCTGTCTGCTGCTCCTGCTGTCCCATGTCCCTCAGACTGGAGGGGGACAGAGAAACTGTTCAGCAGGTCTGGATTTGTTGCTCAACACACCCCTGTCCTGTCCTGAACTTCCTGTCCAACACACCCCTGTCCTGTCCTGAACTTCCTGTCCAACACACCCCTGTCCTGTCCTGAACTNGTCCTGAACTTCCTGTCCAACACACCCCTGTCCTGTCCTGAACTTCCTGTCCAACACACCCCTGTCCTGTCCTGAACTTCCTGTCCAACACACCCTTGGATGGTCAGATGTTTTCTTCTGCTGTACTCACCTGAGGTAACAGGTGTCCCCACCCCAATTCACGTATCATGTTTCAGGTGTTTTTCCTCATGTTACACCTCCTGCACTCAACACTAATGCCAGAGGACACATGTCAAACAGGGTTTTATGTCCAGCTACATGATGAAGATACAACAGATCCCTGTCCTGTCCTGACTCTGCTGTCCAGCAAATCCCTGTCCCATCTTGGATCTGCTGTCCAACAGATTCCTGTATTTTCCTGGAAATCCTGTCCAATTGATCCCTGTCCTGTCCTGGATCTCCTGTCCAACAGATCCCTGTCCTGGATCTCCTATCCAACAGATCCCCGTCTTGTCCTGGAATCCCTGTCCAACAGAAACCTGTCCTTCCTGTCGAACAGATCCCCATCTTGTCCTGGAATCCCTGTCCAACAGAAACCTGTCCTTCCTGTCGAACAGATCCCCATCTTGTCCTGGAATCCCTGTTCAACAGATCCCTGTCTTTTCCTGGAATCCCTGTTCAACAGATCCCTGTCTTTTCCTGGAATTCCTGATGAACAGATCCCCGTCTTGTCCTGGAATCCCTGTCCAACAGAAACCTGTCCTTCCTGTCGAACAGATCCCCATCTTGTCCTGGAATCCCTGTTCAATAGATCCCTATCTTTTCCTGGAATCCCTGATGAATAGATCCCCGTCTTGTCCTGAAATCCCTGTCCAGTTGATCGCTGTCCTGTCCTGGATCTCCTGTCCAACAGATCTTTGTCTTGTCTTAGATGTCCTGTCCAACAGGCCCTTGTCCTGTTTTCTGTCTCATTTGGTTTCTTACTGTAAACAAACAGTTCTGTTTCCCTTCCTGGACCCATCAGAACCTTCTGGTTTCTGATTGGACAGCTTCCTCCTACAAACACACCTGAGGTAACAGGTAACAGGTAGATTACAGATTATATTTCAGGTGTTTTCTATCCTCTGACCTTCTGTTGTTCACAGAGGGGCTCAACACGTCAGACAGGATGATGTCATCACACCTGTCCTCACCTGAGCAGTGTCTGCCGGTCGGAACCAGCCTGTTGGTCAAAGAGCAGGTATCTGATGATCCGGGCCTGGACGACCATCTGAATGGCCCAAGCCCCACCCTGAAACACACACCTGAGTAGGTGAGAAGGCTGGGCTCGTGTTTGATGTTTGACAGGTGGTTCTGATGGTCTCCGGTGTCTTTGTGTCCCTCACCCTGTCCGCTTCCAGAGCGTAGGACAGCTCAGGGTCGCCTTCTCTGAATCGGAAGAAGGATTTCCTCCACTCGTGGTTGAAGAGGTGAAACGTGCCTCCAAACAGAACCCTCCTCAGGTCCTGGAAGCACAGAAACACGACCCGTTCACCTGTCAGTCATGCTGTAATCACACCTGAGTTCTGCTGAACCTGACCCAGGTAAAGACCAGACCAGATTTGTGTCCTGCTATGGAAAACACAAGTTCTTACCAGAACTGTAGATGTTAAAAGATAGTTACCTCCGTTAGCTGGTGGGTGATTGGGGTTCCTCCAAGACCTGCAGGGACCACCAACCGTCGGGGGATGTAACAGAGACCTGGAGGGTTCCTGATGGGCTGGGAGGTCTCATCCTGGTCCTCCTCCTTCCCCACATCCAGCAGCTTCCGTGGAGAGTCAGCAAACATCAGAAATCCAAAACATCTGGTTTGACTTTTTTCATCACGTCCAAACAAAGAAACTACAAAAATAAGAACTGTTTGGATCGAATAAAAACCAGTGAAGTGATGAAAACAAAAGTTCCTCTGAAGAGATTTTCACATTTCTCCACAAGAAAACGTTGAATTAATCTAAAGGAATCAATTTATTTTTTCAGACCAAAGAAGAACCTCAGCTGCACAGTGGTGGAAGTGTCACGATGAGGCATTTCTGACACTTTCTAAAGGTCCAAATGTTCAACAACATGAAGGAACAAGAATCCTTCTAAAGGAACTTTTCAAGATTCGATGAGACAAAAGTAAACAGGTAACACCAGAACCACAGAACCTGTTAGGCACGGTGGTGGAAGTGTCATGATGAGGCATTTCTGACACTTTCTAAAGGTCCAAATGTTCAACAACATGAAGGAACAAGAATCCTTCTGAAGGAACTTTTCAAGATTCGATGAGACAAAAGTAAACTGGTAACACCAGAACCACAGAACCTGTTAGGCACGGTGGTGGTACCATCACGATGTGGGGTTGTCTGGTTGTACAATCTGTCAGGATGTTCAATGATAGTTCTGGACTTGGATCTGGGTTCTGACCATGTAAAACAACATTCTACTCACATTCTAAAGGCTAAGAAAGAAAACAGACCGGTTCTGGATCGGCCCGCCTGGAGTTCTGACCTGTCATTTATAGTATTAGAAGTATTAATAAATTGTGTAGTAT